ATTAATTAATAATAAAAAATTAAAAGCATAAAAAGCATAATTTGATGTTGTATAAAATGTTTAATTCTTTTGTTTCAAAAATAAAAAAAAGTGAAAGCAATTATTTATTGTTTACACATTTAATAAAAAATTATATGAATTAAAAGCATAATTTGATGTTGTATAAAATGTTTAATTCTTTTGTTTCAAAAATAAAAAAAAGTGAAAGCAATTATTTATTGTATATATCTTTTACACATTATATTTAAAAATTAAGACAAAATTATTAAGAAAATTAAGGTAAGAAAATTAATTTAATTTTACATGCGCAACAAAAACAGTTTGTACCGTAATTTAAGAACAAAAAGAAGTATTACAGATACTTCTGTTCCAGAAAATTTATACTATGAAAATTCTCAATATTAAACCCAAAAAACTACCTCTGATTCTCCTTCAATATAATCTATAGGATTACAATTTAATTCAACTGAAATCCTAAATATATAGCGCGCGCTTGTAGTGTTCTAGTAAATAATATATAATACGCAAATTGTTTTTATAAATTTCTAGATATATATAACATATATAAGTCTATTTTTCATAATGTATATTTATGCGAAAAAATCAATCAATATAAAACGCGTCAAATAGAAAAAGTGCGTAATATCTCTCTTTTACGTTATATAATTATAGATATATATTAGTGGCTCGATATGCATATACATCAGTTACTTTGTGGCATCTAACGCATATAAGTACAAATTTATTTATTTATTTGGCTTTTAAGCAATAAGTAAATCGATCAAAAAATGACTAAAGCACATTTTCAAAATACAGGTTATTTATTTATTAATGCTTGAATTTCATATACATAATATATAAAGTTTAAAATAGTTTAAGCTATACTATATTGTATGATATAAACTTTTAATAAACATAAGAATATAATACAGTTTATAATAGAATAATTCATAATTCATAATAAAATTTATAATTCATCTCTCGTAAATAAATAGTCTGGTGCTCGCACGGCTGCAATAAATTCTATCTTTCCGTTTATTTCAATTATGTACAAAAACGGACGGTCTACGACCAACTCCTGCGGCAGACCTACCGATTTTCTTTCTCTTCTTCTGATAAATGTACCTAAAAAATTTTTGTGGTGCTTACAGTATTCGTTTAAAGCTTTTTATTATTCACAGATATATAAAGTTACCTTTTGGAATTGTTGAATCTTCTTCGTTAATCTTCACGAAAACTTTTTGAACAATATCGTTCACTTTTAGAGGAATATTTGAGAGACGTCTAAAATTTGCATTATTCTCGAACATCGTAGTTACGCGCATCTATAAGCAATTATCAGTTTTAGTTTCTAAAATTTATCAAAAATTCTTCTTACCTATCAGTTGTAAATAGATTTTACTAATTACAATACTTATTTGATGAAAAAGATTTGTCATATTTTGAGTATATTGAATCGTAAACTTTGGTAAATATAAATCCATATCTTGCTCAAGTTTGTATGCAGTTCTAACTGATTGAAATTCTTTAAACCTAAACTTTTCTACCAGGTACTCTAGGCTCCTAATTTTCATCTCTTTATTTGGCAAAAATATAATCATTGTGATTTTGTCATTCTGTAAAATTATATTTTATTCAATATTTAATTTTTGATGTCCTGTAAGATTATTTTTTGATTCAATATTTTATTTTTGAAAGTTTTCTTATAAATAATAATTATTTACCAAAGATGGAATTTCAATGAACTTGCAATTCCAATGTGGTATTTCACCATAACTAAACATCGATTTTTTAAATTTAATTGTTGGAACAAAATACATTTCTGACGAAGAAACATAAAATATGCGTTCCACTGTTTTTTCTTTTGGGATGGTTGGCCATCCAATATTAAGGTACATAGTATTTATCAATAATTTACGTATCCTCGTCGATATTATCTATTCATATAAAGTATTTTGTTGTTAAAAATGTACTTTGCATAAATTATAATTTATTTATATTTTATTGTTAGTCAAATGATTTACACAATATACCTGGAGAAATTACGTGTAATATCTGATTATTTGTTGTTTCTTGATTTTCTAGATGTAACTCGATGTTTTTGATATCCTAAAACATATAATTTACATATAATTTGTATTATAATTTTGTACTATAGTATATTTCTTTAATTCTTTATCGTACATTTAAGAAAGTAAATTCAGATAGGTATATATCGTTTAAACATATTTTATCAATAATATTCCAAAAAGACATCAATTCATTCCTTATCGATCTATCTTCAGCGCCGTTTGCAAGTGAGGTCGTTATCATTTTTAGACTTATATTACTAAATGCTTTGTTTTCCCCTATAAATTCATTCTGCGGCAAAACATAAATAAAAAATTAGGCAACTTAAAATTTATATAATATACAAATACATATATTACATACTATATATGATGGTTCTTTTAGACTAGATACATCCTTTAATTTTATATATGTTACAATCGCTGTAGATAGATTAGTAAATATATTTATATTAGTCACATGCTGCTCAATAACATATCTTCAAACATTAATGCATCGAAGGCACACACAATGTTAGCAACAATGACTGCAAATAATGCTGTAAGAAAAATATGTTTGTTATAAAATCAGGAAAGA